ATAGGCAAGTTTCTTTTCAATAAATCCTTCCTGAGGAATCACTTGAGGTCTTAGCCCCCCACAGTGGAGGGAGAAGGTAATTTCGGCGGAGTTTGATTTCAGCTGAAGTAAGTGACATAAACCTTTGTCCTTGAGTCTGCTTTTGCTCTCATTGACTTCCTCGCATCCAATACAAAGTCCGTGTCGAATCTTGCGATTTTGACCTATACTCTACCCCACTCCAACAATTTTCACATGTGCTTCGTCCATCCTACCTGACACTAAAATCAATGGAATCATGCCATGTCTGCGAGCAACCCATATCTTAGTCGGTGATAAATACAGAAGCTAAGAATTGAACTGTCCCCATAATAATCGTTCCTTTTGTGTTACACTTTATGACCCTTGTGTAATCTATTGACTTACCTACTGCCCATAGTGAATGGAGTCCATTTTTTGCCAAAATTTTGAATTTGGTAGAAATCCCGCCTAAGTGACCTTGAAAAGGATATTGCCTATAAGTTCCCTCTATGAATGTTACTCGTGAAACAATGAAGTCTATAAATGTGATTTCAGTTTGGAAGGACTACCTGGATGAGGTTAAAAAAGGACAGGCATGCAACGTGTGCTGGCAGTATTTCAGCAGGTCAGGGTGGGGGGCTGTTAAATGCGCGCGTTTTCGACCGCCTATGCAAACTGCACTAACTAAAAGGATTGCTTAAATAGCATTCTGTTGTCATTGCTTTCTGATGCCCGTAAACATTAAAATTAAAAGGATGGGGTTCTTTGGGAAACAGTAAACTTTATTGTGTGAATTTTTGAGACTGGTTCCCCCAGCTCGTCTTCAGACAATGGGCGGGCAAAAGGAATCAACCTCTAAACTGAGTCTGGCAAAGGATTCTATGATTGGCTAAAGTCTGAGCCAATGCGTGTTAATTGCAATTTGTCACCTCCTTGATTGGTTGAGCCACTTTGAATTTGGCCTTAACGATTTTGTTTGTAGCGTCTAGACCGATATGCCGATTGATGCATACCTCATTTGAGTGCATTGCCTCCAGGAATTCTCGGTCTTTTCTTATTAGGCAGGCGACAACAATGCGAGTGTTCTACCATGCAACTTTGTGCCCAGTATCCTGTGTGTGCGTAGCCACCTGAGATAGACGATCTCGTCTCTTCACCGCCTCTTGTATGCAGTTGAGGCAGATTTCCCAGTCTGGACACAATAGATGGCATCACAACTGGAACAGGGGATCCTGTAGACCACACCTTTTCTATAGAGGTAACCAACCCTGTCCTTAGGGTGTGCAAGCTGTGTGCGTGAAGGCAGTTGCCGGCTGGTGTGCTACGTGTATCTGGTAATTTTTAAATTGTCTGGCAACTAGTTCAGGTACATTTTTCACGTACGAGAGAGTTCGACATTTGGTTGGTTTTGCTGCCCGAGCTGGGGAACCAGTCTCGAAAATTCACACAATAAAGTTTACTGTTTCCCCAAAAACTCCATCCTTCTAATTAAATTTCTTGGGATGTCCGTTTTTCAATTCATATATTAAAATATTTTTGGTGGAGCATAGTTATACGTACCATCCCTATTACAAGCGGCCTTGCACTACACTTGAGTAAAGCTTAGGGTCAGAGTTGGGGTTAGCGCTAGCGTAAGGAGGGCTAACACACGAGTTAGGATTGGATTTAGGACTCGGGAACAGCTACCCCCTGAAATTTGGCGCATAAGAGCCTGCAGTATGGAGGGGCATTTACCTCCGTGTCCAATCCCATATTTTATAGAAAACATGCACATAAGTTTTCTACTTACAGAAATTCAGTAGTGATCACGTCCGTTTTAATTTCATGCTGGCTGAAATATAACTTCATGTTTAAAAGTGTTTTTCCACCTCCGAATACCTCTGAGTCGTACTTGCCGTTGCATTTGCGTTTAGGGTTTCCTAACCCCAAGCCGTGCGCTTTCTATTTAGAAAATACAACATCTCTCTAGAAGAAGACGAAGGCACGTTCACCGGGACGGTAGTTTTATTGGTCTTAGTTTTCGAACTCGAACAGCAGTTCATCATCAGAGACTGCCAGAGTGCAGCAACGTGTGAACATTTATACCGTTGTGCCGTGAGGGGGGAAGATTACGTCCGTGGTTAGGTCGCGTTTGTGCCGCCTGACCCACAATGGTTCCCCGGCGTAGAGATGGCGTTTGTACTTCGCTACGATGTGAGCTGCGCCACCGCGCTACGTGGGCGGAGTGCGTGATAACACGCAGGCAGATAAATGTGTCTATTGAATGAGTTGGTGTCCGAAAACCACGCCTCCAACAGCTTTCGCCCCGTCTTGTTGCCGGCTCGTGCCAATATCCGCGTGTTGACGAAGTCGAACTCGTGGCCTTTCTCCAGCGTGTGAGTGGCGACCAAAAAAGCCACCGACCAACTATCTCAAGTCGCCAACCCCTAAGCCCTAACAGGTACGTCAACGAAATGGGATTTTGTCGCTTGGTTTAAATGTTTAGCATTTCCCATTGAAGTGGTAGGGAACTACGAGTTGCGGGCTCGCCTTAGTATTTAAAAAGAATGGTCGTTCCTCGCGTTTCAATTCTCAGACGCACATGCGACGTCACAAAGACGGTTGATTCTGCCTATTTTCGTCTCCGTAAGAAATTTAAAACGAGCAGTCTGTGCGAAAAACTTAAAGCATAAGAGATACACTCAGCTCCAAGGTTGTCTTAGTGGAGAAGTTATGTTCAAACGTTCATCCCAATTTCTTGGGTGTGTCTGCATAAATGTTTAGGCTCTTTAAACACAAGTTAATAATCTGCTGAAGCAATTTGTCCGAGTATCCAACCCCGTTGCTATGAGTTACACACCCTGTCTGGAAACGATTTGCTTTTAATAATGCGCCATTTGGACGAAAATTCCTCAATTTTTGAACACTGTCTACTTGCCCAAATGTCCTCTTTTCTATCTATACGTCGTCTTAGAATGGTCTTATATGTCTGGATTAAGTTGCCAACGTCTTATTAAAGTACACTGTTTACGGGCTGAAATCTGACGAGGAACCTAACTTATATACCGACCTGTCATAACAAACTAGTTCTTCGGCATTAAAGCGTATAGTCTGATTTTTAGAACGATTTAAGCTAAAAAGGAATCGAGCTCTCCAGATATTTCCTACAAGTTTTGTCAAATTGTAGCTCCTTTGAATCGAACTGATTAGTAAACTAGATTAAGACGAATTCGCATTAAGCAAAAACTTTGTACGGACAGTTTGCTACTGCTGGTGATTAATAATTCTTCCACCAGGTAATTGAATTAATTTTACCCATTTGGGTTCTTTTTATGTGCTGGTACTTTGCTGGCATCGACAGAAACTATAATAAAAGGGTAGAAACTAGGTTCTACTAACTTACGAATAGTAGTATGTTCAGAAGTGCCAAGGCGATCCGCAGACAGAGTGGCCTGGTTTTAGGTCTTGAAAGTTATTGTAAAGAATAATTAAAAAGTTTTCGCCCCACATCGGGCCATCTAATCATAAAAAGGCCTAAAGATGGCAGAGTTGCAAATGATCAAAATAAATTCTAGAATACAAAATTGAGTATAAAGTAAGATATGTTCTGTTTTTACAAGCATAGAGTACCTACGTGATCTAAATTGTCGTGTTACCGACATGTAATCTCCTCTATCTGAACCCTCGTAGTGGAGGCTCGTAACTCAAATGGTTAGACCGTTGATTGTACTCAGATCTACCCACTGCTGTCGTAATATCTAATCTCACCCAGACCGTCGAGTTTTTCACAAATGGATCGAGTGAATATACATATATACATGTATATATGTATATATTAAAGGTATTATACCGTACTCCCGACCTAGATACTTGCTCAAAGCCCAGACACGTGTTTCGCCGATATTCTGCCGCTGCGTGACACAGCTGCGAGGGGTTCGGCTCTTCAGTGGGACCCCAGCGTTCTCTAGCGGTTTCTGGTATATGAACTCCAGAGAATAATCAGATGAATAATTTCGGAAATTAATCAGTGCAGAACTTGGAGTTAAATCTCCGGGACATGACTTTTTAGGGTCAGAACCGAAATGGGCATTACATGGTTATTCCACAGTAGTTGATTGTCTTCGACTCAAATGTTCATTGAAATTTCGTTTCTGACCCTAAAAAGTCATGTTCCGGAGATTTAACTCCAAGTTCTGCACTGATTAATTTCGGGAATTATTCACCTGATTATTCTCTGGAGTTCATATACCGGAAACCGCTAGAGAACGCTGGGGGTCCCACTGAAGAACCGAACCCCTCGCAGCTGTGTCACGCAGCGGCAGAATATCGGCGAAACACGTGTCTGGGCTTTGAGCAAGTATCTAGGTCGGGAGTACGGTATAATACCTTTACCATATGAAATTCATACTACTCGTAGTACTACTTGTTTGTAGAATGGGCATTACATGGTTATTCCAAAGTAGTTGATTGTCTTCGACTCAAATGTTCATTGAAATTTCGGTTCTGACCCTAAAAAGTCATGTCCCGGAGATTTAACTCCAAGTTCTGCACTGATTAATTTCCGAAATTATTCATCTGATATTTATACATGTATATATTTTATGACAGTGGGCGCTCGCCGATCAGGTTACGGAACATGCTCGTTCCGTTGTGCCTTGGTGCTCGTGGCTCAATGGTAGAGCGTCAAACTCCATGACCAAAGATCCCGGGTTCGAATCTCAAGTGATCCACACTTGGGGTTGTGTATGACTGGCTGATGACGGCTAATAAGCCAGAAATGGCCATTCCGGTCTCCCTTGTCTTTGTTGGCTCCATCTCATCTATATATATATATATATATATATATATATATATCAGCGAGGATGGACAACGGACAATGCGAGTAGATTGATACAGTACTTTTTCCGGTTTATTGTGCCTTCATTCAGCCAATCATAACCCTGACCAACAGCTGGGACCAGAAACACAAACATGCACACAGACACACCTGGCGCAGTTGATCCATCACTGAGGTCTACCGGATGGGTCATAAGCACTTCATCGAACAGAAGTTCATCAATGCCTCGCCACCAGTATCAATCTCTCCGCATTCTCTGTCGTCCCTCCTTGCTGCTATTATGACTTGGCCGACTTCGGCCCGGTAATTAGCTGCCTGTTTGTGACCTTTGTTACCCATACGGAGCTTGTTTGCTTCGGGAAGCCAGTGGATTGGTGTGCGATCATTCCTCAGTGAATGTATATATATATATATACTGGAAGATGGGCATCCCAAGAAACAATTCGAAGAAGAATGAGTCCTTTGGGAAAATGAACAAACTTTATTTCGTAAATTTTCGAGTCCGGTTCCCCAGCTCGTCTTCAGACGTGTAGTAAGTATGAAGAAACAGTCAAAATTTAAACAATGCCGAAAAAATCGATATTGCTCTGTCATGGCTGAGGATGGGTTAATGCTCTGGACTGATGTCACGCCTTGATTGGTTATTGCCTTTTCCATTTTTCTGAGATTTGTGTACATGGTATCAAGGTCGATGCGTCGATTGATGCATGAATCATCAGAGTGAATGGCCTCTAGGAATTCTCGGCCTTTCTTATATGGGCAGGAACCGACAATGCGTGTTTTATCCCAAGCGAATTTGTGCCCAGTTTCAAGAGTATGCATGGCGACTTGGGATAAGTGGTCCCGCCTCTTCACTGCCAATTGGTGTTCATTTAGGCGTGTATATATATAGGTATATATATATGTATATACAATCATGGTTCCCGAGATCGCCTCTTCTTCTCATATGTATATATATATATAACGTTAGGGGGCGCTCACCGATCGTTCATACGGAACTCACTCGTTACGTTGTGCCTTAAGGGCTCTCTCTCGAGCCCAACCAGCAGCGGCGCATGTCTTTGTCGGTAATATCATTCTGCCTATATATCATGCGCCGCTGCGCGGCTGCTGGTTGAGCTCGAGAGAGAGCCCTTAAGGCACAACGGAACGAGTGAGTTCCGTATGAACGATCGGTGAGCGCCCCCTAACATTGTATATTCCCGATCGAAAACCGACAGGGCAACGGGCTCGTGGCCCGGTGAGTAGAGGGGTTGACTTCTAAACCAACAGGTCGCGAGTTCGAGGTTCGGGTGTTCCACACTTCGGGCTTGGGTATGGCTGGCTGACGACGGTTAATAAGCCAGAAATGGCCATTCCAGTCTCCCTTGTCTTTGTCGGTAATATCATTCTGCATGTATATATATGTATATGTATGTATATATATAGATAAACTGTCTGTAAACTGCTAAATGGAAACAGCGTGCCGAGCATATAAGACTCAGGGAGTGTCACCGAAACTTTCCAAAACTCCTGACAAATAGCTCATTTTACAGATCCATTTTCGACCAATTAAATGCTTCACATTCCGGTTATATCTTCGATATGAACTCGAAATGTTGAATTTATTTTAGGCAACAGAGAACAAAATCGCCTCTGTAATCACCATCCTGTAATTTTATGCCTGTTTCTAATTTCTCTAGCAAAAAGTCTGGGATGATGATTTCGGCGAACACCCACTCAGATTTACCAGTTAAAAACTGGGTGCTGTACAAATATTCAGCAAATGCTATTTTTTAGATTTTCACTTCCAGGCTTTCTTGGAAACATTAGAAATAGCATTCGTTTTGCTCAGTTTTGGTAAAACATTGGCTGATGCAGTCTTTCGTTATTTATTACATAACCGACGTCAAATGGCTGGTGTACGCCTGATCTCTTTGAATATTCCGCGAAACGTTTTTACTAAGAAAAGAAGTTGACATCAGACGTTTAGACCGATCTACTTGACTCTCAAACAGTGTACAAGCGGAAAAAATCACTGTAGATGATTTATTTTCAAGTTTAAGTATTCAAGCTACCTATGAAAAATAAATGTACGCACTTTCTAGAGTAGTGAATTCAATGTTAAAGGAAGACCTGTCATTCCTGATTCTTATTCTGTATATTGACACCGGCAGTTAGAAAAACCTTCTAGGTAAAAGAACTGGCTATCATTACAAATCATGCACCTAATAGACGTTCACAACAACAATTAAATTAGTAGGATTTCTAACAGAACATGGATTAAGGATATAGTCATACGTCAATAGATTATATATTGGAGGTTCAGCTCGTTGTAATCCATTTACGATTCTGATTTTTAAAAAAATATTTTGTTATACCTAAGGACATGTATTAAATATTGTCACCAGGTTGCTCAGAAGTCTGACAATTTTTTTATTATTTACACTACATAAAACCAACATTTTAACAAACATGCTTACAGTCCTGATGAGGAGAGACTTTTGTTTGTTTCCTCAAATCTCGAGTACGTCATTGTGAATGATTCAGCAGGACAAGCGAAAAATTCTGCTCGCCTTTGTATGTTGACCTCAGCCAAACTTAACAATGTTCACATCAACAAGGCCTGCAACAATAGATGCGCAGAGTGTTAGACCGTTCGGGACAAGGTTGACTGCTTCAGTAACAGTTAGTAATTAAGTAGTTATCACTGTAACCAAATTTTCACTCTCAATAGGTGCATATATCTTTGCCCAACGTTTCTGCTACGGGATCAGGCGGATACTCTAGGCACCTTTCTCCCCCAGATCAGAAGATCAAACGTCATATGGCGGATTGCATGAGAAAATAAGCCAGGATGTTCACAATTAGGGCAAAATCAATATTATCAAGTGTCCATATGTTCTTGCTTTGAGACAGGTCCAATCTGTTGATTGACTGGCATGTGCCTTTTTCGCATTTACACACGCTATCTACTAAGCTAATGTTGTCTCAGATATGGGGATGTTTGTGCATCAACTGATCCAACTTGAGCAGTTCCAAGAAGTCAGGTAAATTATCTGTAGATGAGATATTTTTGATATATTTGCTTCTAGAAAGTAATACTGTGGTCGACTTTTATTACTGAAAGATTTCCTGCTAGCCAAAAGCTAGTACCTGTGCTGTTAGTATGGTATCACCTTACCCTACAGTATACTACTAGTTGCCTGTCGGCAGTTAAGGAATATTACGTGGTTACCTGCCGTGGCTGATTGACTTTGGCCCAAATATTCGGGTATAAAATTCTCGGTCTGAGCCTATAGACCTTGAATAAACTGCACTACTCCAACTTCGTAGATAATTTCTCAGGAAATTAAAAAGCGACAATACTTAAGCCAAAGACAGCCTTATTATTCTCCTATCCACCAAGGCCGTATCCGACTTCATTAAATTTAATGTTATCCAAACTGAGAACTTTAATAAGAAAATAACCCAGCATTATCGGGCAAAACATTCATAAAGCACAAGGTTGTTAGAACGCACAAAATATTTAGATTTCAAATGCAGAAGTGCTTCATTTGCTCTTATTATTAAGATGATTTTTCGTTGCTGCAAGGTCGTAGAAGGACCTTATTTCATTTGTATCAGGAAGACCTATATTAAATTAACCTTGTCCCTGACTTGTGGATTTGAAAGAGGTCCTATTGGCCAAAAGTCCCCAGGGCTTGCTGACGTCGCTGAAATAACTGGCCAAGAAGTATTTGAGACTCGCATTGCTCTTCATATTCATATCACATGATCAAAAACACACAAGAGATGGCTATAAATTTCTAAACTGGCCTTCTAATAAAATAAACTAATCTTGTTGCATTTATGAATGTCAGGCATTTCTTGGAGGTGGTTTCTATACCTGGATATTCAGTAAATTCTGGTAGAAAATTTCCGACTTGTGTTGATGGTGGCAGTCGTTACTTTATCACTATTGAAGGTGTTTTTGTGTCGTTCTTAAACGTTTACAACAATTAAGCTAGCTTCAAAGTATAAAGTTACCTCAAAAACGTCTTTGTCTTGAAATTCACAATTTGCAGTGTTCTGTTTTTTGCGGACAGAAGCAAACAGCGAGTTCCTGAAAGCAGTTCAGAATGAGATTATACGATTGCTGAAGCAAGAAGTTTATTGGTCTGGCGTTTCGGATTTTCACTCGAAATCATCAACAGAGACAGCCGCAGATAAGTGTACTGGAAGCACAATGAATGCCGTATCCATAGGAGGCAGTTGCTATGACGACGCATGCTTAAAATAACTAACAATATCCACATGAAGAAGGAGACACGATCGCTGGGAGAACTTTACTCGTCTAACGTTTCGGATTCTTGCTCGAACCCAGCATCAGAGACAGTAGCAGATACGGTCTCTGATGATTAGTTTGAGTAGGGGTCCGAAACGTCAGACGAATAAAGTTTTTGTCCCAGCAATCGTGCCTCCTCGGCTGCTTTCTGGGATTCGTATCTTCGCTTCGCCACGTTCATCGCTGAGACCTGCACCTGACGTGATAGTAGCTTGTTAGTCCGTACCCCGCTGCAAACCACCGTGATTTCATTGTCATGGTTGGCTTTTGATGTGATTAAAACTCAGCCATTTAGCTCCCCCATTGTCTCTGCGTGAATAATTGCTTTGTTTAGGAATGACGCAAGCTCTTGGGTTGCGGCCCTATCCACAAGTGCGAAGGAGGGTGGGGTGACGAACAAATTGCCTAGTCGGTATCACGATAATAACCCACAGCGGTGACTACATTTCGGTAATTAACGACTCGGTTGCGGAATAACAAACCATCGATAGAAGCGAACAGACCAGTTACAGGAAGCAGACCTTTATCTGCAACCGTCTCTGATGATGGATTTGAGTGAAAATCCCAAACGTCAGGCCAATAAACGGCAAGATGTGGTTTGGTAGCCCCACCTGATGGACACAATACGGCTAGAGATGGGGTTTAAGCGTTAGGGTCAGGGATTAGGCTTATGGGTTATGGTTAGGGGATAGGGTTGGGGTTACTGGTTAAAGCAACTATTTCTCAATCATTCACGGTAAAACTGCGCATTCTAAATAGCTTTCCTTCTGCATTCAATTACTTGACCTCGTCGCTTGTGCGTTCCCGGACCCACCTGTAAAAACCTCTATTACCACCGGTCACGCACTAGAGGTAATTGGGGTTTATTCACTTCAGGTGGAGCTAAATAAACACATCCAATCAGCTTCTTGTTCCAGTGATCGCATCTTCCTGACAAACCATCATCATATCAATTACGATTCCCTATGGATGAATGCCGGTGCTGTTAATCATACTAGGCAAGTGGTCGCGCGACAGTTGTATCTCTTATAAATACTCCACTCATTGTGCCCCCATTACATTGCTGAAGTATTCGAGTCGCGACGGCGCAAATATCATGTGTGTGTGTGTGTGTGTGTGTGTGTGTGTGTGTGTGTGTGTGTGTGTGCCCTCAAAACGGGCCACGTGATAGATGCGCTGGACCAACACGGGGGCCACATCGGACTTTGGCAGGCGTTATCTGTGCGCAATAACAAATGCCAACATTCCCGGGGTGCGCTGGCGGACCCTGTTGTCGGCATTCGTCGCTCAACTGGACCACTGCCTCCACCCCATTGTTTTTGTGGTCAAAATCCTGGTCTTGGTGTGTGGACCAGGGGTGCGGAGTGGAGCGCCAAGGCGAAGATCCGTCCGAGCCATCCACCTGCGGCCTCCCCCGTCTCCGGTCTTCTTGACTCTGTCTTGACACCGGGCCCAGGCGGGGGAGGAGGAGAGAGTGTAGGTAGATGCTACGCAAGTCTACTGGCACTATAAACCCCTGCGTAAGTCACCGTCCCTGCTCCCACTTGCCTTGGGGCACACGGTGGACATCGTCGAAATCGACGGTCGAACTGTCGTGTGTGTGTGTGTGTGTGTGTGTGTGTGTGTGTAGGGGGGGGACCACGCTGTCTGTAGGCTGGCCGTGGCCGCAGACAAAAAACACACGGTCGAAACAGCCAAAATCGAAACAACAACAACAACAATCACTCTCTTCCTCTTCCAGCCTATTCTTCTTCTTCTCCTACTCCTACTTTTCGCCGCCGCAGTCGCCAGACTGGCAGGGTGAGCCCGCTCACTCTGGCAGCCTGGAATGTTCGTCCCCTTCTAGAAAATCCGAGGAGCAACCGACCGGAACGGAGGACGGCGCTAGTGGCACGAGAACTGGCGCGGTACAAGGTGGACAGCGCCGCACTCAGCGAGACCCGATTCTCCGAACAAGGCCAACTGGAGGAGGTGGGTGTCGGTTACACCGTCTTCTGGAGTGGTCGACCCAGGACAGCAACGTGACGCGGGTGTCGCCTTTGCCATCCGGACCGACATCGTGGGACGACTGCCCTGTCTGCCGCAGGAAATCAACGATCGCCTAATGAGTCTCCGCTTGCCTCTCCGGCGAGGAGGCAAGTTCGCCACCATCATCAGCGCCTACGCTCCGCCGATGAGCAGCCCCGACGCCGCCGCAAGAGACAAGTTCTACGAGGACCTGCACGCCCTCTTGGCGACTGTGTCGAAGGCGGACAAGTTGATTGTCCTTGGTGACTTCAACGCCCGCGTCGGCACAGACCATACTGCCTGGAGAGGAGTGCTGGGTCCCCATGGTCTCCGCGGCTCCAACGACAATGGTCTGCTGCTGCTCCGCACCTGCGCAGAACACCGCCTCATCCTGACGAACACGCTCTTCTGTCTGCCGGAGCGAGAGAAGGCCACCTGGAGGCATCCTCGGTCGCGTCAGTGGCACCTGCTGGACTATGTCCTCGTCCGGAGGCGAGATCAGCGGGACGTGCTGGTGACGAAGGCGATCGCGGGTGCTGATGGGTGGACCCACCATCGCCTCGTCATCTCGAAGATGCGTATTCGCCTTCAGCCTCGCAGGAGACCACAAGGTAAGCGACTCCCAGGTAAGCTGAATGTTGCTTTGCTGTCTTTGCCCGCTCATCATCTTCATTTCAGCAACGAGCTAGCTCAACGGCTAGACAACCTCCCCATCGCCGATGCCGCCGCTGCCGAGAACGCCTCCGAGGAGAACCGCTGGTGTCAACTGCGAGACACGGTTCAGTCGACGGCGCTCGCCGTCCTCGGTCGCGCTCCCCGCCAACACCAGGACTGGTTCGACGACAACGACGCCGAAATCTGCTTGCTGAGAAGAACTGCCTACACTAAGCCTACGTAGATCACCCCACTGAGGACAACAAAGCTGCCTTCTACCGCAGTCGCTGACAGCTTCAGCAACGACTGCGCGAGATGCAGGACGCCTGGACTGCTCGCAAAGCTGAGGAGATCCAAGGCTATGCGGACCGCAACGAATGGAAGAACTTCTTCTCCGCGATCAAAGCTGTCTACGGTCCGCCGACGAAGGGCACTGTTCCTCACCTCAGCGCCGACGGCAGCACTCTCCTGACTGAGAAGACGCAAATCCTACAGTGATGGGCCGAGCACTTCCGAGGCGTCCTCAACCGCCACTCCGTCATCTCCGACGCCGCCATCGCCCGCTTGCCGCAAGTGGCGACCAACGTGGACCTCGACCTCCCGCCATCTCTCCAGGAAACGATCAGGGCCGTGCAGCAGCTCTCCAGCGGGAAAGCACCCGGATAGGACGCAATCCCTGCTGAGGTCTACAAGCACGGAGGTCCCCTACTGATGGATCACCTGACTGCGCTCTTCCAGGAGATGTGGCGTCAAGGTGAAGTCCCGCAAGATTTCAAGGACGCAACTATCGTGCACCTATACAAGCGAAAAGGGAATCGTCAAGTCTGCGACAACCACCGCGGCATCTCCCTACTGAACATCGCCGGGAAGATCTTCGCTCGCATCCTGCTCAACCGTCTCAACAACCATCTGGAACAGGGCCTTCTGCCAGAAAGCCAATGCGGCTTCCGTCGTCATCGTGGGACCACGGATATGATCTTCGCAGCACGCCAACTTCAGGAGAAGGGCCAGGAGATGCGGACCCACTTATACTCTACCTTCGTGGACCTGACGAAAGCCTTCGACACGGTGAATCGTGAAGGACTGTGGAAGATCATGCAGAAATTCGGCTGCCGGAGCGATTCACTCAGATGGTGCGTCAACTGCACGACGGTATGATGGCGCGAGTCACGGACAACGGAGCTGTCTCAGAGGCCTTCGCAGTGACCAACGGAGTGAAGCAGGGCTGTGTGCTGGCGCCTAACCTCTTCAGTCTTATTTTCTCTGCCATGCTGATGGACGCCTACCGCGACGAACGCCCTGGAGTCCGCATCGCCTACAGAACGGACGGTCATCTCCTGAATCACCGGTGCATGAACTTCCAATCGCGTGTATCCACAGCCACCGTGCACGAACTTCTCTTCGCCGACGACTGCGCCCTGAACCCTACCTCCGAAGCGGAGATGTAACGCAGCATGGACCTGTTCTCCGCCGCCTGTGAGAACTTCGATCTGATCATTAACACGCAGAAGACGGTGGTGATGCACCAAACTCTGCCGAACTCAGCCACAGCCCCCAACGCGCCGCCGCAAATCAACGTGAATGGGACTCAACTGCAAGTGGTAGAGAACTTCCCGTACCTGGGAAGTACCCTATCTCGCAACACCAAGATTGATGACGAAGTCGCCAACAGAATCTCGAAAGCCAGTCAAGCCTTCGGACGCCTCCGAAGCACAGTCTGGAATCGCCACGGTCTCCAACTGAGCACAAAGCTGAAGATGTACAAGGCCGTCATCCTGCCGACGTTACTGTACGGAGCAGAGACATAAACGGTTTACACGAGGCAGGCACGCCGACTGAATCACTTCCACCTCAGTTGTCTCCGTCGCATCCTGAGGCTGAACTGGCAGGATCGAATCCCCGATATGGAAGTACTGGAACGAACGGGAATCCTCAGCATCTACGCCATACTGAGACAAAGGCAGCTGCGCTGGAGCGGCCACCTGGTGCGCATGGACTACGAGCGACTACCCAAACGACTCTTCTACGGAGACGTCGCGACGGGTTCTCGTCGTCAAGGAGGCCAAATTCGCCGTTACAAGGATACTCTGAAGTCCTCCCTGAAGCGCCTGCAAATCAACCCGACCAACTGGGAAGAGCTCGCCCGCGATCGTCCGACATGGAGAAGGACAGTGAAGACGGGCGCTGCTATCTACGAAGCCAACCGCATCGCTGCCGCCAAAGTGAAACGCGAAGCCCGCAAATCACAATCTCGCCCAGTACGCAACGCCGCCGCACAACCGCTCCCTACGTGTCCTCGATGTCAACGGCCATTCCGGGCACGAATCGGACTTGTTGGACATCTTCGGATCAACTGCTCCTCTCGAACTGCTCCAGCCATCGTCCCCCCGCCCGCTTCTTCCTCGTCCTCTCTTCCGCCAACTAACTCTGACACTCCTTCTGCACCACCACTTCCATCCTCCTCCTCCTCCTCCTCCTTATCCTCCACTGCCCCAGCGGGGCCGTTCAGACTGCCGTCTCACACATCACCAACCCCGGCACAACAACCGCCACCACCCCCACCTCTCCCGATCCCAGTGATGAGGATCAGGACTACACCTGCCCTCACTGCGACCGCACCTTCACCTCTCGCATCGGCCTGGTCGGTCACTTGCGAATCCATCGCACAGAGACTGGTGAACCAGTGCCTGGAGCACCAACCTACACCCACCGCACTCGCCTCCACTGCCCACAATGCCCTCACACCTTCCGGCATCGCATGGGCCTGTTCGGCCACATGCGCATCCAAAAGAGCGGAATTGACCGCAGCCTTGACACACCCACCCCGCCGAGCCCCACTCCCAATCCATCACCCTGTGCACCCACTAACCAATCCCCAGCCGGCATCGACGCCACCGGCCTTACCACCCCTCACTCCTCCTCTTCCTCCTTCACTGCCAAAACGACGGCCGCTTCGGCGTCTGTCGCCCACGACTTCACCACAGCCGAACCTGACACGACAACAGGCACAACCCCTGCAACCTCTATCATCAGACGTGAGGGCCAGGACTACATCTGCCCTCACTGCGATCGCACCTTCACTTCACGCATCGGCCTGGTTGGTCACTTGCGAATCCATCGCACAGAGACCGGCGAACCAGTGCCTGGAGCACCAACCGACACCCAGCGCACTCGCCTCCACTGCCCACACTGCCCTCGCACCTTCGCGCATCGCATGGGTCTATTCGGCCACATGCGCATCCACGAGAGCGGAATTGACCACAATTCCGATACAGCCACGACATCCAACACATCCACCACGCCCAGACCCATCCTCGCTCCACCGTCACACGCGCCGACCACCACCACCGCCACCACCACCAACACCACTGCTTCCTCTACAGCTGAAACCGACACCGCCGACCTCTCATGCCCACATTGTCCACGCACCTTCACCTCAAGCATCGGCCTGTTCGGTCACTTGCGAATCCATCGCACAGAGACTGGCGAACCAGTGCCTGGAGCACCAACCTACACCCATCGCACTCGCCTTCACTCCCCACACTGCCCTCGCACCTTCACGCATCGCATGGGTCTATTCGGCCACATGCGCATCCACGACGACCTGCGGTAGACAACCGCCGGTCACACCACACATTCCCTCACTCCCTACCTCCTAACATCATCACCCCACCAGACATCAACCCTCACACACCTCATGCACTCAACTGCCGCCTCCCACGCAAGTGGGAAGTGTGCATCTCGACTCGGTCCCCATGCGGCCTCGGCTGCACGGGTGACTTGAGTCCGAGACTATCCCGACATGTCAAGCGTAGTGGATAGGAAGATTGCTGATTGACGCCCGCTCTCGGTTCACGCACTTCGTCGCGTTGTATGTGTGTTGTGTGGAGTGGCGGACTGGTGGACTGGAGACGGGCTGAAGCTGCACCTTCCACGGCCCTCTCACGCAAGTGAAAGACACGCCGTTCAACCCCCGTTGTGTGAAATCCTGGTGTTGTGTGTATGGGGGGCCAGGTCGTGCTGTGGCGCGCGCAGTCATGGTCCGTCGACCATGACAGCTACCGCGCCCACTCCCCACTCCAGTCTGCTGACCGGCTCGGACAGCGGCTGGGGTGTGGGAGTGGGAAAGGAGAGTGAGGTCGACGACTCAGCGCACTTTCTCCTAACTATAAACAATCTGACGCGCTTGAAGCTATCACGGTGCGCCAAAAGCCGTGGCTTGGAAGGTTGCCAACTGACGGGGTACCTTGGACCTCCTCTTTCACAGGAGGCGGTCTGAGAGTCAGGCTGCAATGGCTCCTTTTTAATGTGGCCTTTATGGCACTCTCACCACAGTGTGGGATCCGAGCCAGGCGTTGGCGGCACGCCCAGGTGCGGCTTCGGCCGTACCAGCCTCCAAATCTCTGTTGTGTTGGTTGAAATCCTGGTTATTGTTGTGTGGACCAGGGGGTGTGGTGGAACGCCAAGGTGAGGATCCGTCCGAGCCATCCACCTGCGGCCTCCCTCGTCTCCGGTCTTCTTGACTCTGTCTTGACACCGGGCCCAGGCGGGGGAGGAGGAGAGAGTGTAGGTAGATGCTACGCAAGTCTACTGGCACTATAAACCCCTGCGTAAGTCACCGTCCCTGCTCCCACCGCTGCTGCAGCTGTGGGGCACACGGTGGACATCGTCGAAATCGACGGTCGAACTGTCGTGTGTGTGTGTGTGTGTCCCTAAACCTTCCCCCCGCGCGGTAGAGGCGTTGGACAGACATGGGGGGGCAGATCGGAGTTTGGCACGCGTTATTGGGAATGCACGCTCAAAAGGAATGCCGACACTACGGAGGGTGGTGGTGGCGCGCCCATGTGCAGGTTCTCGCAGCGCCAACTGAAACACTGACGTCCCTGGTGCCGTTTAGTGTCCATTGTGGATCAGGGGTGTGGTGGTACGCCTAGATGCAGGTTTACGCCGTGCCGGTCACCTGCGGCCTCTCCCGCCTCCGGTCATCTTGACGCCGGGCCCAGGTGGGTAAGGATGATGAAGTGCGGTAAACACAGCACAGGTCACTGTCCCTGCTTTCACGGTGGGGACAGCGTCGACAATGATGGTCAAACTGTCGTGATGGGTTCGAGTGGTAATTCAAAATTGCAGACTAATAAACTTCGTGTTTCAGCGATCGTATCACCTCATTCTGTTATATGACTGATTAGTACTAAAGCCTGACAGAGGTGATTTTTGATAATCGAGCCTGGGGTTTAAAGCTTC